ATAAATTGCCAATTGTCTCTAGCTGGGAGTTGACACCTTTGTCAATAAACAATCTCTGCAAATATTAGGTTTAACGCTGTGATGTGTTTACCCCTTTATGATATTATTATGAGCTCATAGATACTTTATACTATAACAAACATAATATAAACAATGGAAACATAAATATTACTGGTTCTGAAGCACATGCTATTACAGTATATTTGAAGTAACATGAAACTTAGTATTGGTACTAATTGAGGGGGGTATAGAATAGCCATAAAATACAACAAGGGTTATGGTAGGTTTAACCTATCTTGTGGAATATGGGGAAAAATCCCATTTATTTTTAATTATCTGTTATTGTGGACCCTATCATTAACCAGATTGAAGTGGTACCTTCAATTGGCAGATGCTTGTAAGTGGAGAGCAACTATAAAAACATTGTTGTGCTTCATGGTTGTGGTGCTCTATATCTCCTAAATTAGCTTTTTATCTTTGGTTGTAATGAAAGGTGCTAGTCTGCAACCAGTGTTGAAATATTTTCTGCTGCCAGCCCAGTTAGATTTAAATTGAGGGGGAGGAAGTTCCTCTTGTTTCAAGGAACAATATATCTTTAAGATATATAATGTATCTTTTTAAAAACAATATCCTACACCATACAATTCTTAAAATGGCTAATAATGATTAAAAACACTGAAATATCAATTGAAACAATCGAATCGGGAAAACAAGATACCTTCTCAACATAGCAAAAGGAAAATAAATGAAAGGGAAGAAGTACCCTTAAAATCAGCAGCACAAAGTTTTACTGTGGATGAGAGAGAATAGATTCAGATTAAATCCTAGGTAGAGAGAGCTACTGTTATATACTGAAGTTCCCTGTGGTGTCTCTGGATGGGGTTGTATTGCCTTGTGAAGGAACAGTTGCAGTCTGCTGGATCAGTAGGAAGGATGATCTTTGCCCAGCTTAGTTGGGGCACCAAATTGTGATCTTACTTGGAGTGGAAGGATCTGATTATAGTGGCTATCTCTCTTTATTTGTATGCACTATAGCAGTGGTGGAGAACCTATGGCACGGGTGCCAGAGGCGGCACTCAGAGCCCTCTCTGTGGGCACGCGCGCTGTCACCCCAGTCCTAGGCCTTCAGCTGGGTTTTATAAAACCTTTCACTTTAGGCCTCTGCCACCATGTGCAAAAAAAAAAAGGTTCAGTAAATTTCAACTTCTCGCGGGAAAAAAAAAGATCTTGCAAAGTTGGAATTGATTGATTGAACTTTTTAGTCCCACCCAGTCTGCCATTACTACCACAGCCATGCCCACCCAATGGGCCACACCCACCCAATGGGCCACACCCACCTGGCACTCGACGATGTATAAGTGGGTTTGGGGTTGCAGTTTGGGCACTCAGTCTCTAAAAGGTTCGCCATCCCTGCACTATAGCAATGCACTCTATATGGAGCTTCTTTAAAAGATCATCCAGAAGTTTCATAATGGGGTCCAGGTGTTTATGAGTGCTGGCCAGTAGTTTCATGTCACATCTATTCTGCGGTCCCTGTACTGCAGGAGTCTTCAAACTTGGCCCTTTTATGACCTGGCTGAGGAATTCTGGGAGTTGAAGTCCACAAGTCATAAAAAGGCCAAGATTGAAGACCCCTGGAATAGATCTTGGAAAGATAATAAAATATGGAAAAGTAACAAAATATTTAGTAGGAAAAAATGAATGAAGACGAGCAAGACACTTTTTAATCCTGCATTCAAAAGTTCTACACATCCCAGAAGAATAACAAAACTACTCATTTTGTGCTGTCCAACACACTGAACCAATATTCAGAAAATGAATGATGTCTTTAAAATGTGAATATAGTCAGAATGACTAAAATCCCTCATCTGTGAATATATCTAATCTTTAAGACAATGAAGGGAGAAAGGTTGATTTTTTTCCATTGGACTGACAGTTACCGACACTCTATTTAACTTTAATAAATATAACATCTAATGAAATTTCAAGATATACAAAAAAAATAAATTCTGGGTTGAAGCAATTATTCTTGAAAGACGTCCTGACTTCTATGTAAAATCAGAATTCTTGAAAGCTGGCTTGGTGAATGACTTTAGGAAGGAGCAAACATAACAAAAGCTCAGTTCAGTTATATTAGTTGCACTTAAACAGTGACATCTTCAGCCATTGATTCTAAGCAAGGGAGAAGAATTGACTATTAGACTTCCACCACTGTTAGTCACATCTCTGGCTTGTCACTATCAATATTTCTCAGAGCTCTAATATGATACTCTATCGGAGGTCATGTCTTTAGACAAGATAAAAAGTCTGGATCTGTTGGTTGTAAAAGAGCTCACTGAGCCATTTTTCAGAAACAGAGATGTTATTAATCCCCTAGCCAATTATAACTGGAATTTTGCGACTGGTTTTCTCAACAGATGAGCACCAGTCTCTGAAAGCAATTAATTCACCCCAAATTTAAATCAGGAGTGACTTGAAAAATGTGTATAGATCTGGTAGATGTGTCTCTCATGTATAAATTAGAATGTGCATGCATTTTCTTCTCCAAGCAACCTCAAATAGAATTTTAGCATTTTGCATACCATGAAGCAAGTGAGTAATAACAGAATAACAGAGTTGGAAGGGACCTTGGAGGTCTTCTAGTCCAACCCCCCTGTACCATTTCAAACAAATGGCTGTCCAGTTTCTTAAAAACTTCCAGTGTTGGAGCATTCACAACTTCTGAAGGCAACTTGTTCCACGGATTAATTGTTCTAACTGTCAGGAAATTTCTCCTTAGTTCTAGGTTGCTTCTCTCTTTGGTTAGTTTCCATCCATTGCTTCTTATCCTGCCTTCAGGTGCTTTGGAGAATAGGTTGACTCCCTCTTCTTTGTGGAAAAGCCTGAGATACTGGAACACTGCTGTCATGTCACCCCTCGTCCTTCTTTTCATTGAACTAGACATACCCAATTCCAGCAACTGTTCTTTATATATTTTAACCTCCAGTCCCCTAATCATCTTTGTTGCTCTTCTCTGCACTCTTTCTAGAATCTCAACATCTTTTTTATGTCGTGGCAATCCAAATTGGATGCAGTATTCCCAGTGTGGTCTTACCAAGGAATTATAAAGTGGTATTAACACTTCATGTGATCTTGATTCTATCCCTCTGTTAATGCAGTCTAGCACTGTGTTGGCTTTTTTTGGCAGCTGCAGCACATTGCTGGCTTATATTTAAGTGATTGTCCACTAGAACTCGAAGATCTACCTCACACTTACTACTATGTAGCTAGGTACCACCTAGTGTACCTGTGCTTTTGGTTTTTCTTGCCTAAATGTAGAACCTTACTTTTTTCACCATTGAATTTCATTTTGTTAGATTGCGCCCAATGTTCAAGTCTGTCAAGATCCTTTTGTATCTTAAGACTGTCTTCTGGAGTGTTGGCTATTCCTGCCAGCTTGGTGTCATTTGCAAATTTGATGAGTTCCCCATCTACTCCCTCATCCAAATAATTGATGAAGATGTTGAAGAGCACTGGGCCCAGAACAGAGCCCTGGGGCACCCCACTACTCACTTCCCTCCATGTAGATGCAGTTCCATTGAGGACTATATGCTGAATACAGCCAATCAGCCAGCTACGAATCCATCTGGTGGTGATGCTGTCTAACTCACATTTTTCTATCTTATCAAGTAGTAGGTTGTGATCTACTTCATCAAATGCCTTACTGAAGTCGAAGTAAATTATATCCACAGCATTCCTCTGGTCCGCTAATTTTGTCACTTCATCAAAGTATACAATAAGATTTGTTATACATACAATATTAACCTTGTGAACTCTAAAGCTTCTTCTTTCTGCAATGTATTCAAAATGGTCAATGATTAATATTTATGTTATTTATATATAAGGATGAAGGGTTATACATGTTGTATATAGCATGTTTAAATATGTGTTATGTATGTGCACACTTTTGAGAGCAAGGAACTAAATTTCATTTTTCATGTGTGCCAATGTGCCCTCAATAAAAAAGGACAATAAAGGTTATCTTATCTTGTCTGACATGATCTGTTTTTGACAAACCCATGTTGGCTTTTGGTTATGACTTTGTTTGCCTCTAGGTGTTCACTGATTCGTTGCTTGATTATCTTTTCCAGAACCTTCCCAGGTAGTAAACTGGGGGGAAAATGTGACTGCTTTAATAGTATGAAAAGAGTTATTCTTGGTATTTACGAGTGGATATAACTGCATATATTATCTTTTCAGTCATCAATCAAATAGGAATTGGTTTCCAATGCATTACTTGTAGACAGTGCTTATGTAGGAGAAAGTTACATACACTTCAAACAACTTGCATCCTCAATGTATACATTGCAAGTGGAATATACATATCCATCTCATGAATTGAAACATACTATAATAACTTTACTTTGTTGTCAATAATTTTGGAGTTTTTAATATAAGTAATCCCCAGCTAACAGGATAGCTAGAGATTATGTGGCTTGGATTCCAACAAATGAATGACAATGTATCAGATCTGCCTTACACCAGATACTATAATATTTACTATCAATCCTGATTAACTCTAGGTAAAGTTTATGTTCTCTAAGATCATCCATATTATTTTAGCATCTAAGCAACAAAACAAAAACCCATGAGAGGCAAGTCTCCCAAGTTGAAAAAATTGAATATATAAATTAAAATTATTATCAATTTCGGACTCTTTTATGATGACCAAATCAATTGCCTGATGTATCTGAATCCAAGTTACAATTGGTTCATAAATTGAGTTGTCTCTCCTCAAGTGTAGGATGATAAATAACATTTAATGGATAAATCAATTTAGGCACTTGTAGGATTGAAAAAAAATATAGCTATGTTTTTTAAAACAATGTACACTGTATGATATGTTACTTGCTGGTTTTTGTTTGTTATTTTACTTGCTTAAATAAAATGGCTTTCTTAGTATTAAATAAGATATTCCTGTTCCTTATCATGACATTTTTAAAATGAAACTGTTTTTTCAGATAATCTTAATGCCAGCATTATGGGACATCAGGTGATAATATTTGACTTTTCAGCCATAAGAGGTTTATGGGAAATTCGAGTGAAGAAGCACAAAGACAAACAGAAAAAGGAAAAAGAACGAGTAGCTCAGAGTGCATTAGAAAAGTAAGGAAACCTTTACTATATTGTTATTTCAATGTTATTATTACTGTTTCATTATAAATTAAGCCATTGTACATCACAGCCAGCAATAGCTGGCATTTATTTATTTATATTATTTATATGACTGTTCCATATATTAGTCATATCGCAAAAAGATAATAGTCTATATTTGATTGGAAATTTTGTTTCAGGAGGATGGGATTCACATAATTGTATTGACCATTGCTTTTTTCATTTGCTATTTTCATTTGCTTACACTGTTCCCTGATCAAGCCATTTCAGAGATGAGTCTCATTTATCCTCTCTGTATATTATTAATGGCTTATAATTATTTTTGGAATGCTTATAAACAAATGAGTACAATCTTGCCAAGTAACCATTTATTACAAAAATAATGATCCCAAGCAACAGTTACCTGAACTCAAGAAGAACTTTGATGGGCCAGAGTGAAGGTGCATCTGCAAGATTTAATATTTAATGGCCTGAGATCATTTGAACAGATCCTTTTGTTGGGCTTCTTTTGGAAGAATAATAATATTTATCACATATTTAAGTTGGGGGGGGGGATTTTTCTGTCATGATCTCATTTTGCAGAATGTAGTACAACCAACTCACACACCACTCTAGTGCCCTTCAATCAAGAAATTTGACCCACAACCAAGGAAGAGTTGCACTCTCCTATCTTAACTCAGGAAAGCAAAGGAAAAGAACATGATAAAAAAGAGTGAAAGGGTATTTTGTAAATTGAGTAACATAATTCTCCATTATAAGGATTTGGGTTTAAGTGCTGTGCATGGGGTATGCATGTGAACTTAAAAAGTACTCATTCAACTAGCTTTTAAAGAGCTTACAGAGTCCCAAAGGTATTGTTAATGGGGCAGGAATTCACTATGTTGTAAAAAACAGTCTCATTAATGAGGTCTGCAACTCTTAAGATAGTTGCATTGTGCTGAAGAAGCCTGTTATATTATATGTTTATGACAATTTACTTTTAATCGTGTGAGAATTCTCTTTCCCACAAATAAAGTTGCTTTGGAGATAGTTTTAGGCAATGCATAATGCATATCCCATTGACTGTATTGTAGGCCTGATTACGTTAGAATAGGATCTTATGCACAGCAAATCAAAGATCATCCATAGCATGCTGACATCCCAGTAGTTTTCCACAGAGGTCCAGAGGGTACCATGAAAAGCAACATAATCAATTCATTTATGATTATGAAATGAAATTTAAAACTTAACTTTCATATTCTGTTAAGAGAAAACTTATAACTGGTAATTTGTTTGCCTTGAAAACCATTCTACCTTAAGGAAATCACTACTAGAGCTGTATGTGACCATTGTCTATTTATCTTTAAACTAGTCCTTTTAATTATTCTAGTTAAGAATAATTGAAATCCTCCTTCTTCTCCCTTCTCCCTCCTCTTCCTCCTCCCTCCTCTTCCTCCTCTTTCTCCTCCTCCTCTTTCTTCAGAGAAAAACAGTACTGATTTTTAGATAGAACTTATTCAACACAGAAGCCTGGTTCACAACATGCTAAGTCATGTTGTGGCATATTTGTCTATGGATAATGAGTTATATGAATATAGCTTAAATACTTTGAAAAATCTTAACTATAGCTTTTGTGTTAGGTGAAACCAACCAATTTTGGTTAATTTAAAACAAACTATAATTTGTGTGAATCAGATCAGCTTGAGTCCATCTTCTAAAAAGCTACCAATACACCAGCTTGATAGGAAAGTCCTCTTTTGCTGTTCCATTAAACTATTTCTGTATATGAAGTTCTAGCAGTTGGAGAGAAACCAACCAGGGACTTACTTCACCTTTGATAACTTGGAATAGATCAACAACATATTTTTAAGATGGATCAGAACAGTCATGAGTTATGTATTCAAGATGGACATGTTGTATATAGTATGTTTAAATGTGTGTTTTGTATGTGTACACTTTGAAAGGAAGCAACTAAATTTCATTTTTAATGTGGGCCATTGTGCCCACAGTAAAAAATGACAATAAAGGCTATCTATCTATCTATCTATCTATCTATCTATCTATCTATCTATCTATCTATCTATCTATCTATCTATCTATCTATCTATCTATCTATCTATCTATCTATCTATCTATCTATCTATCTATCTATCTATCTATCTATCTATCTATTTTTGCCTTCGTTTAAGGATTCATACAGAATCAATAGCATTTCCATATGCTCATATAGATGAGCTGGAGGCATAGCAGTGAACACAGATGGGGCAGAATACTTCTATGTGCTGATTTTGTGGCACTTGGCTGTGTACCATTGTTTGTACATTTTTAGATTTTTTTTCTGGAGTTATTGTTATCCTTATTATTTTTTCCCAAACCTGGAGATATTCTTGCTTGCAGAAATGGTTTATGAAATGGCCAGCAGTGAATTGGATAGTATTTTTCTTGGCCAGAAATCTGCATTAATACTTTTGGTTAGAGTTGATGACTTATTAGCCCAAATGGTGACAGTATGTGATCTTGAAATAGGCAGTAACCCAGAGACTTTGCTATGACCAATGGTTAAACAAGTTGTTTGTTTGTTTGTTTGTTTGATTGATTGATAATAATCCAGAGGCTTCTGCAGGATCAAAACCATCTTTTGTCAAAATAATGAAAGTGTTTCTGTGTTGGCATGGTGCAAGCTCCATCCTTTCACATGTGCATGTTATGTCACAATGTACATACAAATGGACTGGATCTTACAGAGTGATGCTGTTTTTGTCATTTGATGCCCTTTGATATGAAAGTGTTTAAACATGTTCTCTTTTTCTATGTGGTGTCCAAACGTTTGATCACTTAGGCTGGCCTCCTAATATTTTGCATTTCCCTTGAAGAGTTTATCAGTCAGTTGTAATTTGCAAAGCGAACAGTTTTTAAGCTGGATAAATGTTCTGTCTCAGATGGCACTGCAGCATTAACCTTGATTATTTTTGCCTTTCTCTGATTGCTGTCAAGCTGGTGTGATAAAAATTGTCTAGAGATGTTACCAATACAGCCAATTTGTGGTTTCTCAATTTTTGCATGGAATTAAAAAAAATGTACATAACAGTATTAGCAGTTAGCATGGTCTAAACAAGAGTAAATGAAAGGAAGCTGATTAAAGGAAACAGTAGAAAACACAAACATGCAAAATCAAGTACACAATAGACGTTCAGCAGCATTTTAAATCATAATGTGATGTATTATTGTCATGTTTATATTTTATATCTGTTTTGAGGCATAGCCCTCAAAGATTGGCTTACCTAATATGAAAATAAATACACACTGAAAAACAGAATGTTAAAATTCATGGTTGCAATTCTGTTTCAAGATAAAACTGAAGGGAAATTTGTCATGCCAAAGAAAAATGATCTTTGTTTTAAACATAGTTCACAATGTATATAATTTTGATGCTTCCATCATCCCATCCTTGGTCAGGGCTGAAGTTTTTTTTGCTGGTTTGCACTTGCCTCCTGGAGTTTAAGAAATTATTGGTGTGCTTTGCAGATAAGGTAGACAGGGCCTCTACCTGAGAAAACAACATTTATTATTATTTGGTTAAATTTTGTTAAATTATACAGCTAATTTGTATAAACAGGGAAAACAAATAAAATATCACAAGGAGCTAAGGAGAGAATATCCCAAAGTCATCAATGAATTTCCATATATCACATTGGATTTGGGTTTTCCTGCTCTTAGACTAACATCTTAACCATTACATCACATCACTTATTTACAGGGAATATCAATGGTAGGTTTTACTTTAGTACTAAGAATAGATATCTCTTGTCATCTGTCCAGGAGTTACAACTTCCTTTGTTTTGCAATTGTAGATAGAACAATATTTACTATTGTCTCTCCGGTCTCCATGATCAAACCTATAACTGGTGATCCTAGAGGACTTGTAAGCATATTTGGGAAGGGAAATTACAAGTGATATGATATTTGCCTGTAGTAGGTTCCTGGTTCCCTTCAAATGTATTGAATTACTCCTACGAAATCCAGGGAGTTTGGTGAGATTGAGGAGTTCTGGGAATTGCAGTCCCAAATTTTTGAAAGATGCCATATAATGTTAGCATCAGAACTGCACTAGGATACCAGCACTGTATAAACCAGAGGTCTTCAAACTTGGCCCTTTTATGACTTGTGGACTTCAACTCCCAGAATTCCTCAGTCAGCATGCCTAGCTGAGGAATTCTGGGAATTGAAGTCCACAAGTCATAAAAGAGCCAAGTTTGAAGACCCCTGGTACAAACTCTTAATTAAATGATGTATGTGCTTTGAACATTTTAAAGTAATCTATTGAAGATCATCAGTGTTCATACTGTATTTGATCTTCTTCAGTAGATTAGTTCAAGGTCTTCAAAGCACAGATGAAACAAGAACATATCTGAGCACCCAAAAAATACCTTTCATCAACAAGAAAAATCATTGATAATATGCTCTCTTTCTTTTTATACTCTGCTGTAAAGGAAGCCATATAATCTAGAAAACCAGGTCCATCATATAAAGAGTATGAGACAAGCAGAAGTGATTCAGATGCATTCAGCACATACACAGAGACACATTATTAATTTGATTTGACATATTTCACAATTTGCTCACAATGCTTAAAAATTCCCACTTGTGATTTGGTTGCAAAACAAGCTTTTACAGCATTGGTTTATTCCATTGTTTGCTCATTTAAAAAAAAAACCTTAGAATTCTAATCAATTACATCTCGGGAAAGTATTGTTTGTTTTTACAAGATGTCAGTAGCAGCCAGACATTCTTACCTCTTTTCATTTTGTATTGTTTATTGTTCTCTATTGTGCCTCATACTATTTGCTTAATTGCAAAGGAGAGTGAAAAACTTTCTCTCCCTGACAACATGCGATTTGGAATGCTAATAAGTACTATCAGCTTTAAATATGGGAAAGAAAAAGAGACATAGGACCAGCTCTGGTGCTCCAAATCTTCTTCAATCATCTAAGCAACTGAAAATTAATGAGTGG